CACGATTTTCCTGGTGATCATTGGTGACGCTAGTTGGCGCAGTCATTTAGTTGCGCAAACGGATTATCACTAACAGCGTTTCATAACTATACCTATATTGCAGGTCGTTTAGCTTCTGCACTACTACAGGATTCAAACCAGAATAGGAATTAGTTTTAACCATTTTGCGGGTATAGTGAAATTATAGCTGTTTTAGTGATTTATAGCGTTTTTAGCTGATTTAGCAATATTATACTATAATAAAACCAAATTCATTTTTATACAGATTTACGCTCTCTTATTCTATCAAACTACGGGAGAGAATCAGGTAAAATTTTTCTTGACTTTTTTTCGAAAATATATTTAGTGAACACCCCGAAATCTTTGATTGAGGGGCAGATTTGTAGCTGATTTAGTGAACTACATACTATTAAACCCAAATTCATTTTTTTATTCGATTGCAAGCATATCGAGGATTTATATAGGGCCATATCTCTCGGCTATGCTAATTTTAACATATAAATCGGTTTGTGGATCTCTCGTGATTAACAGGTATTATGACGTATATCGTATCACAAGTTAAAAAAATATGCGGGACTAAACTTTTTTTATTTATACTTTATTACGTAAAAATAGCGAGCCCGATATGGGCAAAACTTTATTAATAACAATGTGAATCATGCTTTACAATACCACATATAAAAAAGGCGCTAAATCCTACTTTAATCTGACTTTGATCCCTGTGCCTTCGATAAGTCCATACTCTCGATATAGATAAAACATATACAGTATGTCAAGTGATAATTTATGGCGCAGTAGTTCACAACGATCAAAAAGTTATTTACATATTCCAAATACATTACACACACATACACATTCGCAAAGCAAATAACAATATAAGCCTGAATTGGGGCGAACTTTATTAATACGATTGAATATTAGAATACATGTTTTTCAGATGGCCGAGGCTGGACAAGCTTGTCCGAGCTCATCAAACCTTCTGCGTTAAAACTTCAGCCATTACATATTTGGTTTCATCTATAGTTAGATTTAAGACGTATAATGGGGGAATAGATCTAATCCGAGCTATTTTTTCTTTACCTATGGTATTAAAAAGTTTATACATCTTTCCGGATCTCTGTCTTTTTTCGCAAAGCTTCATCAGAGCATTTTGTCTCGGGAATCGCCATCCTAACCTCTTTTTTAACTATCGCTTCAGATCCATCCTTGCCAAACTCAGGTTTTAATTCCTTGTATCGCTTAAATACAGCTTCCCCAAAATTAAAATAACTGAAAATGAGGCCTCGAGATGCTTGTTCGTTTTTAGTTTCAGCATGATCAATCCTTTCAGAGAGTTGCAAAAAAATACTGGTTGAGTTTTCACTTGCTTCTTCCAAGTTCTCCCCAGCAGTAGGAACAGGCACATCAGTTAATAATTCTTCGATAAGTTTTTTTAACATAGACGATACCTTCTTCCCACTAGTCTTTTTCGCTTTCTTGCTAGACGATTTTTCGGTTGATGCACCCGATTCCCTAGAACGTTTTTTACCCTTATTGCTTGAGGAAACAGAGGTGGATTGCTCGGGTTGAGTTGATCTCAAAGGAATCGTTTCTACTTCGCCGTCAACATCCATTTCTTCTTCCCCATTTACGTCCACGTCCATTTCTTGGTTTGACACCTCTTCTTGGATTACTGGCGAATTAATCTGAAGTTGGTTGCTCATTCTCCTAACTATCGATGAAGTACTCGAATGAGACGATACAGAAAATCTTCGTTCAGAGATTACAGCCTCAACGGTTGCAGTGCAACCAGGAAAAGACATTTATTTTTTTGCGTAAGTAGATAATTTTTCTCAATACATCCCCTGTGATATACATGGCCACACGATAATACAGTAAACGCCTCTAAGTTAAGAGAAAGGATCTCTTTATCGCATTTACACATCCCCAAATCCCATATGCGAAATAAGGATTGCCGGAAAAAATATCCATACCTGAATATTGTTTTATTGATATGATAATAGCGTGGCCGGAGACATGACATGCAAAAATTGATTCGAAAAAATAATGCGAAATATATATGCGATTCGCACGTTACACAGCCCCTATTCTTTCGGCACCAAATAATCTTCTGTGCATTTCAGGTGATCGATCTCACATGACAAAGTTCCCGCCTCCGCTCTATGCTTTTACAGATACTATTGGGAAACCATTTTGATAAGCCTCACAACATTCAAAGGTGATAGGTTTGTTCTCCATACCGATATCTGATATAGTTCAATAAAAAACCGTTCCCTCAGGGAACGATCAGAGTTACACAAAAGATTTATTCTCCGAATTTCGAGACTTTCTTACCCCACCTTGAGTCAAAATTCGGAGCACTAACTCTGATCCACACCACATACCACACACACCACACAACATATACATTGATATAAAATACAAGTCCGAATTGTGTATATTTTATCCACACATACTGCCCGATGCGGACAAACTTTATTTCATTAATTTTAATCTAAAAGCTAATACATAAAATGCAGAATTAACATTATTGTGAAAATAGGCAAGAGTTTACAAGCGTAGTTAAGGTTAATATAAGTGATAAAGTAATGATAGTATCAATAAAAAATATCATTTTTGATTGCGTCCTCGTGGCGTGAAATATGTTGATCTAATGAATTTGATCTTTTTATGTTTTGGTTCCGGTTGCTTCTCATCAACAATATGGAAAACTTTTTTATATGGGTTTATTTGTGTGTCGAATTGTGTGTCGAATTGTGACAGAACAGTAACCTTCTGGATTATGCGTTCCTATAATTGGCAATAGTAAATAGGAGATTTCTCTATCAAAGAAAACCAACAATTAAAAATATATTTTTTTCGAACCTTGAAGAAGTATAATACCTCTAATGTTTGGCGCAGAGGTTTGATATTAGGTAATTGCGAAGGAAACTTGAAGTCTGGTCCTTCCAAACCAAAATACAGACCATTATCAAACAAATCCACAGCAAGAAGTTGACCATATAATCCTAACGCATTGATAAAATGTTAAGCATCAACAAATAATTTCAATTTAATGATATGAACACATCTTACCAGCAAATTGAAATGCAAACACTGCCGAATTTTCAACATCTTGGTCAGACAAATTCCGTCTCAAATATTTATCAAGAATACATTTGTTGGTACGTAGAATCTTACTTCGATCACGAACAATTTTAGCAGGTGTTGGTGCTCGGGCACATTCAGTATGGCTGAGTTCTATGCATTTCCTTCGAGTTTCAATCCTCAAATCTATTTTCCTGAGTGCAGTACTGGCCTTCGAGACAGTTTCCCCCCTACAATGTTAATATTATAATGTTATAATGTGCAAATAGTAAAGTTTACAAAGCATGCTCTATAAGGTTACCATCGAAGCTTGACAATATTATTGACGTCTGAAAATACAATGTCCATCACGGGTGCGACTGTTTTTAAAACATATTCCATCTCCGTTAGCTTAGTTCCTTTACCATCTTCATCTACAAAGATGTACGGATCATTAAGGAACATATCCATGCTAGTAATAAAAGGTTGAATTAGTATAGGCACAGTACAGTTTATTGAACCACAAATGAAAGTGCTTATGTACATCGTGAAATATATTTTCATTATTTGAAGATAGAATTTCGTAGCCGAACGATCTTTCATTTGCTCTAATAAATATTCTCGCACATCCCAATATCGATACTCTAAACATAACTGCACAGAAGTGTTAGTGCACAAAAACATTAGAATTATCAATAACAGGCTGTTTTAACATACGTCTTCAATCTTCTCAATGCTTTCAAGAACACGGCCTTCAAATTTCATTGGTAGCATGTTAATTCTACTTCTTGCTTTTTGTTTCAGGATAGGCCATTCTTCTCCAAACCAGGTATACATGCCGTTTTGAAATTCAGATGTCAAATCCACGATGGAAGACAGTCCAAGCCTACTCAAAAAGTCAAAAAAAAAATATCAATAGATCTGCTTCATTATGTGCGCAATAATTAAAACGCGTGAAAGTATATATACCTAACGACACTTGCTGTAAAAGCGGTCAGTCTTTTATTTTTAGAATTCTCTATAACCATTAGTGTTTTTTGTGAGAGGACATTACTAATGAGTTCTCCGCTTGACAACTTCCATTCTGAGTTATTGGATTTGACTGCTTTGGCAATGGATAGAATATTTTCGTTGATAATAATATCTGATCCTTCGTCATCAGATTCCAGCTCTTCTTTTTCTTCACTATCGTCATCAGATAATTGAGGAACATCCCTTTCATCATCGTCATTATCAAAAACCGAATCAGTTGCTAGCGAAGGTAGTCTTTCCATTTCGGATGAAGATGGCGAGTATGAAGATTCATAGTCTGACCTAGACTGAATTAAAAAAGCGATATATGTCAGTTTTCAACCAATGTAAACACATGAAAAACACCGCTAAAGTTGTCGTTACCTTTTTTGTGGGTGGTGTCGATGTCGCGTCATCCTCGTCTTTTCGCTTTTTCTCTGTAGAAGCTTCCGATGATTCTTCGTCTACCTTATATTCTTTTTGCACTCTAACAACGTCAGAACCACCAATTGTGACATGTTTGTTTCGAACTTGTTCAAGCAACTTGTAATCATGTTCCTCGACGGCGCGACGTTTTTCACGTTCTACTATCGAATCCCAAAATGAAACGGTTTCCTTGGACTGACATGATATATTGAGTTAATTCACATTTTGCAAAAGGGATACTAAATAAATTAGGAAATTATAACTTACAGATAGCTCTTTCATCAACCTTTTTGCATGATCCCGAGCGAATTGTGGTAGATCTTGGTTTTCGCTCAAAGAATTCAGGAGTTTCGTGTAAATTCCGTGGATCGATCCCTGTTCAGCACTTCTTAGTTTCTGCTCTAAATCGAGCCGGCGCAGAAACTCGATGAACGTGCGGGTTGTGAAAGGAGCTGATGAAAAGTAGTCATGCATATCTTTAGGAGGAGGAATCGTGAACTAGAAAGGCAGAAAATATAGGGTTAACTTCCTCCAGAAAATAGAGTTGATCACAACAGTAGTAAATACTTACTGTTTTTGGATCCATATTGCTTTGTTATTGCTGAAATGTTTACCGGTTGACCTTACTTAAATTTTGAAATAAAGAAAATTCAGAGAATATTTTGTGCGCGTAACTGTGCGCGTATTATTAAGTTCTGTGTAACAATGTGATATGCTATGCATGATCTGGTGGTCTGCGATAAAAATTGCACTCCAATCAAGGCTTGATCAAAAAACTCGAAATGAACAGGACTCTTGGGGAGCATGGAACTGGTTGTTTACAACACCCACGACGATTCGTTTCCATTTGGTGACGCCATCGTGTGTGCAACCCTTCTCCTCTTGGAGAAGCCGGTTGGTAACTCCTCTTCTTTGGGAGTATGGAGCTGGTTGTTTACAACACCCACGACGATTCGTTTCCATTTGGTGACGCCATCGTGTGTGCAACCCTTCTCCTCTTGGAGAAGCCGGTTGGTAACTCCAGGCCCCCCTCCATAACTCCAACTTCCCCAAGAATGGTTTAACACTTCAAAATTTAGCGTAAACTTTTTCTTTATTAAGTTTCTGAACAATAATGATTATATGTTTTTTTAAGATAATAGGACTTTTGATTCTCTTTTACATCTTCGAAAATTCTCCACAATTACCAGAGTGAATGAAATATATGATGCTATCAAAGAGGGAGGGTGTACGCGGATCCTAGGCCATTTAATGCGAGTCCCAGCATCAAGTTATTTCTTTGCTCTATTATAAATTTCTATACTAATTGTTTTTTTCCTATCACTATTGCTAACTACGAGATTTTTACACCAATATTCTTTTTCTACACTAGATTTCCGAAATAAATTATCCCACCGTTACATCACACTTTCAGAATATTCCAGTCTGCCTTGTTTTCAAGAAATTTGACGCTTAATTTTTTTATCACCAGTATGATACTGCACCAAGTATTAAGAATTCGGCATGTGAAGATGCTTATCATAAATTTTACTACGCTGATGATACACGTGGAGTTGATTAGATAAGATAATATCTCATCACTGGAATTTATTTTTGTAATACTGCGCCTATTATACGCGTGATGATGGTCAGTGATTTTCTCGGCAAAGATCAAAAATGCCGATATATAACAAGAAGAGCAATATGTCCGTTTTATTTTGGAACATCTATAGAGGCGGGGAAATCGATTAGCATCGTGATGACATGTTTCAAGAAGCTAACCCGAGCTATAAAACCAATATACCTTATTATTACAGTTTGCAGATTATACTCGTTTGTTTGATTGTTAATATGGTGATGTAAATATTGGTAAGTTTGAATGTTTCGCTTAATTTTTTGTTTTTATTTGCACAAGGCGGATAAAAGGGTTCACTAACTGGGATATCACCTTTTTATATAATTCCTAGGATCGATTTTGTTATACGCTTTTGGGGGGAATTACGTTAATATGATCGCATCACGAAAATCTGATCAACAGTCTCTCCTTAATTTCCTTAATATAACAATAAAAGAATTTAACGCTATCCATATGTAAAGATCATCAAGGGGTCCTTTTACAATAATATACGTAATAATTTTAAGAATATGCGAGAAAGTTTGAGAATAAAAGTCCCTGGATCTTCGCTGGCAATTTTAATTTGCCGATCCAGATTTCCTAAATTACCCTGTATTAACATGTATATACGCTCGAGCATAAAAAATTAGTATGTACGGTCTAAAAATTTTTACCAATCACCACGAGAAAAATATTTGATTACATTGCTCGGGTCACTTAGTGCCCTAAACGTTTTTTATTTGCAATACATTAAGCTAAAATAAATTACATGAGCCCTGGGTATATGATGCCATTCTATGACTGTAGACTATTTAATATACATGATTATTGATATTTCTCTATTCTAGCTTTTTTTTCTTTGAGACAAAGTTCGAGACGTAGTCCTGATACATGCTATGTCATATGATAATCGTGAAGACTCTTCTCACTTCCAACCAATAGAAGCAGTTAATTATATTATGATAATTTCAATGACGTATGGTATATATGATGCAGGTTCGGAAAAAAGAAACAGCCTGTCGAAAGACTCGGCAAGAGTTTTTCCGGTGCATTTCAGGTGATCAGTCAAGTTCCATGTATTTTTGCATAAGCCACTCCTCACATGATTTTGAGAGAACAAAAAATGATTATTTGTCCACGAGTTTCAGGACCTTTATTTTCGGCATCATTAAGCAAATCTACCACTCTTTCCGTAGTTGTCACTTGATATAATGTCGCAACTGATCCACGGCTCAACCATCCTTTTTTACCTTGCCCCATTTGAATGATGAAATCAGTTATGCGATTATCTATTTTATATCTATAATATTCTGCTCCGGAGACGAATCCATCTTGACTGGATGCATCACGAAATGCCTTCATGGTAAAGAGTTCTCTCATTAAGGCGTGATATGCCTTTTCTCTTGGATCATTGCATTGGTTTTCGAGCTCAATCGAAAGACAAATAAAGTTATCAACCCAAGGCATACTTTTTCGATCATATTCTAATACTTCGTGAACTTCATCAACTACAAGACCTTGGCGTATAAGTTCTTGTAGTTCCGTATCTGTTACTGTAAGCGAAACACTTTGTGACTGGGTCTCATTGGCTGAAGCTGTTGATGATGTGGATTGCTTATGCCTTTTATTCTTTTTACGAACCATAATCTCTGTTGTCTATAGATAAGCGGGAGAATTCAAAATTTCGAAGAAAAATAATATGTGCCATAATTACTGCGGAGAAGTATAGATGACGTTTTACTGTGCATGATATCTAAGCCACCCACGTGATTCGAAAAAAAGAAATAAACCTATACGATGATTTAGTCTATGCGAGTATGCAATTCGCGCGATAATTCTTCTAGGCGGTTACAGGAGAAATAATAGGACTCATCATTGGGGAGATTTTTCTTTCACGTCTTCCATCACTATAAGAGTAATAGCCTCTATCACGATTATCCCATTCATCATATCCATCATCCGATTCATCTGGCATCTCTTCTTCAGCCGGCTCATCCAGTTATCTTAGCCATAAGTCTAGCATTTTCTTCTCTAAGTAAGTCAAACTCAGATTCCATAACACTTTTTATACAAGCGAAAAAAATAATGCGAGATATATATATGCATCTTACATGTCGCACAGCCCCTATTCTTCGGCAAGAATTTCTCCGTTATCGTACTGCGCATTTGCGTTAAGCAGATGATTTATCTTCATGCCTCTACTGTTATTGGAAGCATAAGGGCATGACTCTTTTCTTCGATCACAGATCTCAGAAAAATATATGACCAAAATTTCGTTTACCTCGGGTAAGGAAAATATCATTTGCGTATATCAAAATCGAAATATTTTTTCAGGCTTTGAGCATATGCGAAAAGGCGGAAATAGGCTGATTTAGATCAAAGTTCTTAGAATACACTTCTAAAACCTCATCAAGCAGGATTCCAGGCTCTTTGATATTATCACATTTCAAATAATATCTTTTATTGCCTTGTCTGTCGATCCACCATTTGCCATCCAAGTACCAATGAGTTTTGGCGCATATAGGACAGGTTCTTGCGAAGTAACGTGAGGGTAAACTAAAGATCGTGTAGCAATCCATTTGATGCTCGCCTTCCCTATCTATGTTGAAGTTTACTTCTAACTTTGACACATTAAGCCGATTTATCACCGAATTCATAACATCTTCGCGCATCTTTTTCGGTAGATTCTTCTTGAGTGGAATGAGTTGATCACTTTGTGTTCGCTTTGGAGGTGCTTTGGATTTTTGCCACTAGTCGTTGGAGACTTTGATGGTATACTCACTTCAGCTTTGAACAAATTGCCTGGACCGATTTCTTTGGAATTACCTGAAGAATTAGAGTCATGAGATGAAGGAATAGGTGTGGTTGGGACGCTTACCTCAGATTTGGTAGATACATTAGTTTGATTAGTTTTTGAAGTCACATGATTTTGATCGTTTCCCGAGGGAACAGTTTTCGGAATTACTTGATCTATAACATTTTGAATTTGTAGGTAAGTCAATTTTGACATCTCAGTTGCACTATATGAAACCAACTTGATTTTGTCTATTCCAACTCCATTTTTTCCGAATAACATGAGATGTTTTTTAGCCCTAAGAGTTTTTTTGCGCAAGTTATCTTGTGTGATTTTAGTAGGGAGAAATGGTTTCATTTCTTTGTAAATCATTGATCTTGCCGTTTTATCTTTGATTCTATCATCAGCAGTAAGAGCATCTACCTTGCTCTCGAATTCAAGGGAATAATTGTACCAGTCTAAGATTTCCTGCTGACCAGACTTTATTGCTGTATCAAATAGATAAGACAAGTGTTGGGCAGAACCTGAAATCATATTCTCTGATCCATTACAAGAGGAATTAGTATCTGTAGAGCTGACATTATTTTCAGTAGATATGGATGAACAGGCGCCAAAGGTACCACACAGTTCTTGTATTAGACCCTGTTTTACGATTTGATTTTTATCTAACGATTCCTCCGGAATCAGCTCATCATCTTGCTCCACGGATACTTTGAGATCTGGTTCAACTGAAGTCACATGATTCTGATCGTTCCCTAAGGGAACGGTTTTTTCGAACTCTTCTGAAATTTCTGAAATCATCCGATCGTCTTTTTCAGAGATGCATGATGAGCTGGCAATCACCAGGTCCTGAGCAATTGATTCACGCTGAAGTTTCTCCTCTCACTTTCTCTGCCTTATCTCATCACTAACCTTTTTCTTATTCGCATTATCCAAAAAAGCATCCATTCCCCTTTCCTCTGATGTCTTAAAGCTAACAGTTACCTTTGATACCACATCATTTATTTTGCAAACAGGCTCACACTGCTTGAGCTGAACTATAACGGAGTCAGGTATGTCAACAGGTTCTTCAGAAGAGAAATCATCCATTTCCTTATCCTCCAATAGCTTCCCATGATTCTCTGCAACCGAATTGAAGTTAGATAAACCATTGTTAGGAGAATTATCATTTTGCAATTGCCTCTGTTCTACTTTCGTGACTCGATCTCTAAGCTCAACATTCTCAGACACGAATTTGGTAGTATCTGTCTTATTTTTCTCTAGCTCCTCAATTCTAACCCTGAGCTCATCGTTCTCAGCTTTGTATTTGGTGATCTCTTCTATAACGCGCTTTAGAAGCTCAGAGTTCTTGGCCTCAAGCATAGCTTTCTCAGCCTCAAGTTCAGTAATGCATTGCCCCAATAAATCTATTTCGGATTGCATGCCTGCATAATATAATATTATTTATGCTCTGTATAATTCATATTCAAAATTGGTAAAAATATATAGGTTATTTCGGCTGATCGTTCCCCGAGGGAACTGTTTTTTCCAAGAAAATTTTTATTAATACATGCGAAAATAAATACAAGATCGGGACCTAGCCTACGATACACATTATTTTTTGATAATTTTTTTGATTCTTGCTCTCTTGCTAGACGGAAAACTATCTACACTAACCCGATCCTTCAACAACCCAACAATTATACCTATTACCCTTTTCACGTTGTTTTGAAGTAGCTCAGGATTTTCTTTAATGGCGGACTTTGAGAGATTAATTTGATATTCACTTCCACTCGTAGAGTATATACCATCAGGAGTATATATGATAAAATGCCACTCCATACCTGTGGTCACAATACCATAGATATAGTCAAAATAGTCATTCCCGAATGCTTGATCCGCAGTCCGTTTCTTTTTATTTGTCTGAAATGCGCTTTCAAGTTGTGCTAGATTCTAAGAGATAAACCATCATTAATATCTCTAATATGTTAGAAAGCGAAAATGTGGATAGTAGGCCTACCTGCGCATATCCAATCTTAATATTTCGTGGTTTCCCTTCAGTGATGCAAAAAAGATCCTCTAGACTTTTGATCACGTAGTCTACTCGGCCAGTAGCATCTTCACCGGAAACGTCTTTCTGTAAAACTATGAATATATCTTGAGAGATGAGTTTTTTGGCGATAGCAATTGACACATATAATATAGCTGAAATAAATTCACAGTGTGTTACCTCGTTAGCATCGGTCATGGTTTCCACATTTGAAAGTTTTAAGATAATGTCCTCCATACAGTGTTCGAATGCCTTATCATCATCATTAATCTCCTTGAAGACTGAGAGAAAAAAATAAGATTAATATACATATCTAGTCAGTTTTGAAAATTAGTTAATTACTTACCAGGAGTAAACTGCTTGATATTTGTTATATCTTCCCCATTGACCTTATTTCTACGCAACATTTCCTTCAGGTCGTCAAGAGTTTTAAGTAAGGAATAGTTTCTTATTTTTTGGCCAAGACCTTCAATGAATTCTGCGAGAACTGTTGCTGGACCTAAAGCGAAGCCAATACTGCGAAAGTCCTCTTTAGTTAACTTGAGAAAGGCTAGACTAGAAATTTTCTCTTTACGAAGAATTTTAATATCATCTTTATCAAGTTTTAAGTTTTTCCTTCCCAAATAATCGATAAGCTCCTCTGTACTAAATTCCTTAACCACGTCTGACATTGTTCGAGAAGAAACTTCTTCTATTATTGAAGCGGGTGAAGCGGGTGAAGAAGCTTGTGAAGACATAGTTTTTATATATGTGAGTTTGTGCTTGCGAAAAAATTTATGCACCCGATAGCAGTTACAGGTAAAGCTGATTTATGGATAAAAAAGTATTTTGGTTTCAGCGCTCGGAGAGAAATGATAGATTTTTTTGTATTGATACATAATGCATTTGCCCAATATATATGCAATTAAGATGTAGTACAAAATTGTCAGGTGATTATATTACATCATTACACGTGATATTTTTTAAGATTTATGGCAAGAACATAATATATGCTTTATTTAAGAATAAAAAACGTTGCCGGAAGGGTCCCAGAGGGACCAAGCCGGCCTACATTACATAAAAATTGCGAATATATCGCTACATGATACAGAAGATTATTTGGGGTATACAGTGAAATGGAAGTGCTCTGCTTTAGGTTCCTCATCAAAAATATCGATAAAATCCTCATTCATAGCCATTTTCCTTTCAATAGTGCTTCTGGCTTGAATTATACAAATTTTGAGAGGGATTTGATTAAATGGTACCCCCAATCTGCTTT